GCAGCTCACTCAATACTTTCAAGTTTTAGGACAGGCTTGGAAAATACAGCAGGGCATGGGTTTTTGTCTCCCAGGCGAACAGGCAGAATTGAAACCAAGTTTAGAAAACAGTCAGACCAACGAAACAATTAAAAAGTGGGACGTGAAAAGGAAAGGAAAAGAAATGAAAAACAAGTAGGCGAGCCGAGGGTAAAGGAAGCAAAAGTCAATATTTACTTGATCTGTCCGTTCTCCACGTAAGTCGTTCTGTAAAACCCCACGAGCGAGCCGTTCAGCCAGCCGGCGAACTCCATGGTCAGGAGATAGACATCCTGGCCACTGCTGGGTGCAAGCTCCTCTCCCGCCTCCACCACCACGTACTCCTGCTTTTTGTACTCGAAGCACCGCCTGACTTGCACCTGCTCCCCCGAGGGCCTCCTCAGCTGCGGGAGCCGGCTGAGCCTGGTCTCCCGCAGGTGCAGCCACAGGTGCCGGGTGGGCGCGCTCACGTTGATGGAGATGGTCACGCTGCCTGTGTACGTGTCCTCCTCCAGCAGGGGCTTCACCTGCAGGTCGTAGTGCACTGGGTTGATGAAGTCCGGCAGCCTGAAGTTTTTCCAGTCTCCACTTTCATCTTCGCTGGCAGGGCAGACCCCCTGGTCCTGCGGAGGGCTCTCGGTGGAAGGAGAGTGGGAAGGAGCCGGAGCTGTGCCCTGCCCTGCGTCCCCGCTGGAGTGATTCGACCTGGTCAAGCCCACGGAAAGTCCTACTATTAATCCTACCGCCACCACCACCGCACAGATAATAGCCACATGTTTCGTTTTAATGCAGTATCTCTTGGAGGCCTCTCCCTCCGCAAAGTTCATTTTTGTTTCCAAAGTCAAATATTGCACATAAAAGGATGTTAAATTTAACTAACTAACGTCAGCTGACTTCCTTTTTAAATTGTTAGGAATTCCCTGGCTTGGCAGCCTGTGTTCCTTTTTCCCACGCCCCTCTCTGACAGCCTTGCGTCTTTCCTCTCCCCTCACGTTCCCCACCGGCCACTGAAGGATGAAGGCGGAAACCAGGGGGTGGGATAAGGGCTCCAGAAGACAGGCTGAGCTGGAGGAAGAGGACTGCCGAGAAGACTGTCACAGCTCCCCTTATAAACGAGGCATCCCCACCCCACCCCTCCTGCTCAGGAGTGAGTTAAATATAAAGTAGGGCTTAGCTTATCAGGGAACGGGAGGATGAGTCTTTGCCAAAGCTCTGTCAGCAGCTTTCAGAGAGAGGGCGTATGGAAAAAGAAGTGTGCTTGCGACAGGAAAACTCAACCTTTGCTACTGGGTCTATGGCTTCTTCCTGTTGTGCTCACAGTCTCTCTCTCCTCACCAGAGGGCTTCTTGAATTTCAGCTCTTTAATCAGGTAGCTTGCCAAAGAAGCTGTTTTCTTTTCGGTTCCCCCCCCCCCCCATGTTAGGAAAACATTCAGACTCTGCCTTTACCGGAGTCATATCCTGGGCTTGCATGTTCAAAGCGATACCTAAATTCAAGGACCACTTAGGTGCTCAGTAACTATTTGTTAAATTGCTGGGTTAACAAAGCATAGCCAAGTTACCTGAAATCGGTTCAGTATGATGCTGGATAGAAGGAGGGAGGGGAACACAAAATCAGCCAAAGCAGTACTGCAGCTGAAAAGCATAACAAGAAGTAAGTAAAAATAATAATAATAATAGTAAATAAAATAAAAAGGAAAGGATTGAAAGGACAGAATGACAAGGGAGATAAACTTGTTAAGTTAGATAGCTAAACTGGTGTAGATAAACTCCTCTCTGCAGTTTGCCTGTGAGTGAGATTGGCTTCATTAGACTTCAAAGTGTAGATCATGTTTGGAGCAGATTCCAGATGTGAAAGCTGGCTTGTTGGGAGATCCATTATCTGTGCAAATCTATCGCCTCTGAATGATAAGGTCAAGACGGAAATCACGGCAGAGACCTGAATGTTTATGAGTAGCTAAGGTGTAGACCCCAAGCCACCTCTAATAATAACAATACAATAATAATTATCAAAAATTTGAGAGCTTTCTATGTGCCAAGCACTCTGCTAAGTACATTATCGAAGCTATTAGTGAAGTCTTCCGACAACTCTGTAAGGTTGGTACTATTTTGATGGCCATCTTAGAGATGGGAAAACTGACATTTAAAGAGGTTAAGGCACTTGCTCAAGGTCACACAATCAGTAAATAGCAGACTTGGAGCTTGTACCCAAGTTGTCTGAGTCCAAAGTCCACACATCTAACTACACTGTTCTTTTACTACCTTCTATTCTCTCAGAGCCTCCAGATGGTAACATACATTGTAAATCTCCAGACAGGATATTACTATTGAATAATTTCTACATTTAACTGGTGATGAACATTTTTAGTGAGGTAACTTTTCTGGGACTTGTGCTCCGTGGAACTCCCTGAGAAATGGTACTTTATACTGTTCCAAAGTACCAACTAAACAAAAGGGCGGGGGGGGGGGGAGACTTTAAAAGCAAGAGAGTCCATTTTGCTCTGTACATTTCTATTGTTTTCTTATAAAATAGTAGTAAAAATAGAATTAAAGGGAAAAGGGATATATTTTTCTAGATTACAAGTTCATCTTGTGTTTGTTAACTTCATACTCTGAAACAATCCTAGACTTTTTAAATCATAGTGTGTTTAATTTTGAAAAATCAAATCCCTGTGTTTTAGCCCTTAAGAGACCCCCTTTTTATTGGAAAGATCACCTGACATTTCATTAGATGAAAGGGAAAATGTGGATCATATTTATCTCAACATCATGACTAAAATTAAAAGTATTTGAAGAATGTACATAAAATTGTGTTAAACTGGAAGCATTTCTAAAAAGTCTCAGCTGAGGCAAACACACCTGAAGCTCTTAAATTCAACCTCATCTAGAAAGACAGCAATGTTACCACCGGGCCCTATGCTTGTGGCTAGATTGAACAAAGTAGATAATAGACTTTTGGGATAAAGTGAATTTAAGGGGGATTAAGAATGGTCAACTGCTGGGGCGCCTGGGTGGCTCGGTTGGTTGAGCATCCGACTTCGGCTCAGGTCATGGTCTCGCAGTCTGTGAGTTCGAGCCCCGCGTCGGGCTCTGTGCTGACAGCTCAGAGCCTGGAGCCTGTGTCAGATTCTGTGTCTTCCTCTCTCTCTGCCCCTCCCCCACTCATGCCCTGTCTCTCTCTCTCTCTCTCTCTCTCTCTCTCTCTGTCAAAAATAAATGAACATTAAAAAAAAAAAGAATGGTCAACTGATATAAAACTCTCCCCCGTTCTGCCCAAAATTCCGCCACATGGGACCCATTATTTAAATGTAGTATTTTTGATAGAGGAAATGAAATACCTTAAACCCATGTATGTAGTGTGTGTGCATACCCACACGCACCCATTTGTGTAAATTTTGAGTCTCAGCCCCAGTTCTTACCACAGCATCTTGGTATCAACCCGTAAGGGCTGCCTAGACCCCATGAAGGGCACTGCATCTTATCAGTATCACATGTTAGAGGGTTGCCTGATGTTGTAGATGTAAAACATCCAGCCAGCTACGTGGGGATAGCAGAGCCAGCATGTGCACTGAACACATCTAGGAACAAATTATTAGGGGTTACTAAATACAAAGCCCCTAGCTCTCATAATTTGATGACACTGCACTTCATTGCAGTAGCACTTGCTATCCTTCCTCTCCTTGACACTGAAGTATCGAGTCTGTGGCAGGAGCCTCTTGATCTTGAAAGCCAAATCTAATCCACAGCAACGGTCAAGGGCAGCCACTGATGGAGGAGAGAGAGAGACAAAGAGAATCTATTCCTACAAGGAGACCAATCAACCATCATAGGCACTCACCTAGATTAAACAGTTTATACTGATGAATCTTGTGTTGAAAAATCTGCATTAGACATAGGTAACTTGAAAAGGCTACCTCTGGTCAGTTTCCACTTAGCAGATTCAAGCCAGTGGAGTGAATGCAAAGCCATTCATTATGGATCGTAGACCACACTCCCCCTGCCCATACCTTTTGACAATGTGTGTTATCATTTTGTACCCAGGGAAGTAAGTCCAATATCTGTCCCCTATAGAGCATAAGTGTTCATTGTTTGCTTATCGAATAAACAAATAGATAAATAGAATGTAGGGTAGAGAACACCAAGGATCCAGAATGGGAAGCATTCATGGACATAATATGCCAGAAATGTTGAGATAAAATAAACTCAGTTCAAATTTCAAGAACGGTCAGAAAGAAATTCCCTAGAGGTGAGGACATGGAAATCATACCTGGTCTTGAGTAGGTAAGGGACTTCCTGGCTAATTCCTTTCCAGAGCAGGTAGATTGATGCAAGAGACCCACTATAATACTGAATAGACGATGTGTACCTCCCTTTTACACTTGGAGCTTTAATTTAAAGATTTTTGTTAGGTCCCAGGAATTACATGTACTCCAGAGACTACTGGCACTTGTATGGACATAGGATGCTGCCAACTCACCAGAGAACTAGGAACAACTCCAAAAATGTCAGTAATTAATACAACAGTGTGACTATTTGTCTAGCTCTTTACTCCTATTAGTTGATCAGAGCTGAACTCCATGGTTTAGCAGAATAACAGGCAATAATGACAAGCTAGAGTCATGACGGAGGAAGCAGAATCTGCAAGTCGGGCTGTATAACATAGGGAACAGGGAGGAGGGGAACCCGTTGGTCTTCGCCTTGCCACAGGGTCACTCTTATCAGGCATGTCAATTCTATAAACCCATGGTCAATCCAGGCATTTCCAAACGGTAAAGGTTTCACTAGAGTCGAAAAAGGAGAGTGACATTGCATATGACTTAGCTGATCGGGAAGGCTAAACCCATGCTGGTGATGTTCACTGTGACCTTGGTCAGTGATATTATATTTCCTATTCTTCATATTTCATTTGGCCTCAGCAAAAGTTATAAGGGGTTCAATTGGTTTTCAGATTAAGTGATCTCAACTATCTTTTTCCAACACCTGAAAATAGCTGCACATATCAGGACAGAAAATGTTCAGCATGCCACACCGAACTTGGGTTGGCCGGTCATAATGAATTTGTCCAATGACTGGCACAATATGGAGAACTACACTGCAGTGAAGATGAGGAAGAGGAGAGTGAAAAAGACGGTCAAGAGGCAAGGAAGAAGAGAGGGAGAGAGGAAGAAGAAGGATGTTTCAAAGATAATGATGAGAAGAAACCTCCAACACGTATCCAAATGTAATTCAATATAAATATTGAATTTATTCCATTTATTTGATATTTTAATAATTTTTAATAATTTTATTTTAATAATTTTAAATAAATTTTTATATTTTAAATATTTAAATATTTTTAATTAATTATATTTAATTAAATATATTTAATTAAATATATTTAAATTTTTTTTCCAACGTTTATTTATTTTTGGGACAGAGAGAGACAAAGCATGAACGGGGGAGGGGCAGAGAGAGAGGGAGACACAGAATCCGAAACAGGCTCCAGGCTCCGAGCTGTCAGCCTAGAGCCTGACGCGGGGCTCGAACTCACGGACCGTGAGATCGTGACCTGGCTGAAGTCGGACGCTTAACCGACTGAGCCACCCAGGCGCCCCTAAATATATTTAAATTTTTAAATATTAAAATTTAAAAATTTAAAAATTTAAAATATTTAAATAATTTTAACAATTATCAATTTATGCAATATAAATATTGAATTGAATTCAATATAAATCCAAATGTAATTCAATATAAGATAAAAATCAATGAAACAACAGGCTTGTGTCCTCTCTATTCCGTGTTGTTTCCGGACTGATTCTGAGTGGCCTTCTGCAGGTTTTTCTGGGATACACAGATCGTGTTCATGAAGTCCCCACCCACGTGACCCACGGGCACCAGGGTTTCGTGAGTCACAAGCAACAATCTTTTTGTTTCTTTTACTCGTTTGGATCGCCCCGGAAAAAATCAGTTCACTTTACCCACCTCTCAAAAAGTGTCTGCAGGCCACTATTCAGTCATTCAACAAATATATATTGACTCAATAAATATTTAAAATTTTTTTCTTTTTTATTTATTTATGTATTTATTATTATTATTTTAGAGAGAGAGAGCATGTGAGTGGGGGAGAGAAGCAGAGGGAGGGAGAGAATCTTAAGCAGTCTCCACACTCAGTCCACACTGGGATCAATCCCATTAAACCAGGATCATGACCTGAGCTGAAATCAGGAGTTGGACGCTCAACTGACTGAGCCACCTGGGCACCCCAATAAATATTTAATTTTTAACAAAAAATTTACTGGACAAGGAATTCTAGAATAAATTTTAAAAAGATGGACTTTTTTTTTTTTAATGGTTATTCTTGAGAGAGAGAGAGATAGACAGAGCACGAGCAGGGGGGAGGGGCAGAGATAGAGGGAGACACAGAATCCCAAGCAGGTCCCAGGCTCTTCGCTGTCAGCACAGAGCCCAACACGAGGCTCGAACTCACGGACCAGGAGATCATGACCTGAGCTGAAGTCAGAGGCTTAACTGGCTGAGCCACCCAGGTACCCCAAAATATGGACATTTAAAAAAATTTTTAGTATATACTTCTAAAAGCATGTGTTTACACCCCTGCTTTGTTCTTAGAATGTAGAGATTTTGAAAATATTCAGAAAAGCAAAGAAAATAAACAAAAAGGATTTATTATTTCTGTAATTTTAAACTACTTTTATATTGGGTTCCCTAATGTGCAGTAATACACTGGGCGACTGTGGTAGGATAGAGAAGCAACAAAAGAAAAATAATAGTGATAATATAGGCTAGATTTCTGTTGTTCTAAGAATTTCAAAATTATCTTTATAAATTTTCTCAGTGCACTAAGCAATGGCTGTATATTCTGAGTGTTAAAACCTCCTAGAGTTCTTTTTTTTTTTTAATTTTTTTTTCAACGTTTATTTATTTTTGGGACAGAGAGAGACAGAGCATGAATGGGGGAGGGGCAGAGAGAGAGGGAGACACAGAATCCGAAACAGGCTCCAGGCTCTGAGCCATAAGCCCAGAGCCTGACGCGGGGCAAAACCTCCTAGAGTTCTTAATTCACTCAACATTCCCTTCCAGTCCTTGTAGTGTCAAAATTCTTGGCAATATTTTCTCTGTTCCTTCTCTCCTATCTGCAGAAGTCTGCAAAAAATCATGTTAATGTAGGGAAAACATCTCACCCAATGTTCTTTCAGTCTATGAGAGGGCCAAGTGAATTATACTAGCAATGATGATTTGGGAGCCTGTTTCCCAGAAAAATCCTAGTAGATCCATTCTTCATCTTCAGGAATATCACTTATTTCTTTCAGAGGAAAGGACTATAATTTTCCAATTTTTATTTATTAACACTGGTTTGAAGATCTCTTTATTAATTACCACATTAATTTTATCAAATAAAGTTGTCTTTAATTGTTGTTTCCTTTGGGAGTAAAGACTTGAGCTGCATTAAAATGATCAAAGTCATCCTTGGGGGAACAGGGATGTTGTTTCTCCTTTTGGTGCTCTTTTCTTTTTTTTTTTAAATTTTTTTTTCAACGTTTTTTATTTATTTTTGGGACAGAGAGAGACAGAGCATGAACGGGGGAGGGGCAGAGAGAGAGGGAGACACAGAATCGGAAACAGGCTCCAGGCTCTGAGCCATCAGCCCAGAGCCCGATGCGGGGCTCGAACTCCCGGACCGCGAGATCGTGACCTGGCTGAAGTCGGACGCTTAACCGACTGCGCCACCCAGGCGCCCCTGGTGCTCTGTTTTCTTAGCCATGTCTTCTGGTTTTTGTTTATCACTCTTTTCAGTATGCTTTTGTCTTAAGCATTACTCTTGCTCACAAGAGTTACTGAAGCATTACTCTGGCTCACTGGCCAGAAATAGTCACATGACTCCCTTTAAAAGCCAAGAGGCTGGGACAGGCAGGCAGCCAACAACCCTACCCTTCAGGAGAGGGGCGTGCATCTTTGGGGGTCAGCTAGCCATGTCTGCCCTATGCTGTCCTCCCCTCATTGTAGGATTTATTTTGCTGCAGTATATTTCACTGCAGTAACTCAGAAGAAGAAAAAAGGCCATCCATAGATGAAAAATACTGTGCCAATTGCTGTCAACATTTTTATAAAGACCTGAAGGCCATAGCCAAGGCAAGGTGCCTTCTCTCTTCACGTTCTTATAAAGATTATTCAGCTGCGTGCTGATAGTTTATGCTTATTTTTCATCATCACTGCTCTGTATGTCTATTTCAACTTGATTGTTTTCTGAACAGACTTGTACTGGGAGGGGAATATATTTTTATTTTGCTTTCCAAAGGTCATTTTATTTGCACTTCAGACTAATGTAGAAACAAATGTAAGTAAATGTAATTGCATTCAAGTGGAAGGAAAGAAGAAGAAAATGGAATGACCCGGAACCAACCTTCATGGTACATACTTGGGACCAGATGTCTTTTATTTGCTGTCTTTTTAATGAATCCAGCAGTTCTGTGAGTTAGTTATTATGAGCCCCAGCTGCTACTTACCACACCGTGCTGCCTCCAAATGTAACAGAAGGAATTTAATACTATTTGTGGGTTAGTCCAGACTCCTCCCTGAATAATTTTGTATTTTGGTTACATTGAGACTGTGTAGATCTTGCAACCAGCCTGGGCAACAAATCACAATATTGTTTCTAAGAAGCAATGTACTACAAGGTCCAATATATAAGGTATGCTTATTTATCTGGTCTTCCAACCTATCAGGTCATCGGGAGTGCCCCTTCCTGAACATGTGGGGTGGCTCTTGCATTACTTTGTGCCCTCTAATGCCCTGAGGGTGCTCCTCCCTCCCTGGGGTGCTGAGAAATTGGTTTGGTGATCTACGTAGTATAGGTACCGTCTAGCTTATTAGTTAAATGATGAGAAATATTAGCCTAGTGAAAGAACAAAAAATAAGCATGAGAGGTGTGCCACACTAATGCTGTTTAATGCAAACTATTTGTTATTCTATGTTTCAAATAAGTCATGGATTTGAGAAGCTGAGTGAGTTATCACCTCAGAAGATTTTAATGAAGCTGTTTCATTTTCCTGATGATGGATGGATCCTGTGTCTCAATTCCAGCATGACAGACATGAAGTAACTATACCCGGATCCATATCCAGAAAGTCAGCCATGTGACTTTCCCGAGGTAACCCTGGCTGTCAGTTCAAGTTCCCATCCAATCTGTGATTTCAGTCATAACATTTAACATTCCATCCTGCATCTCTCTGAAGGGCAGCATTGCTCATTTGTCCTAAGCGCTTATAAAACCATTTGCATGATGAGTGTGCGTTGTTCAGTATAGAAACCCCAATTCGTTTTGTTGCTTTCCTTTAACAACTGAAACTCAAGACTGCCAACCCTAAAGCAACAGTGTCCATACATGGCAATAAGACACGTGGAGATTTAGCTAACAATTTTATCAAGTTGACTGTTGTAGATATTCAAATCTGATAATAAGGACAAAGTTACATTTGAGATCTAAGGTAATTGTGGTTTATTGGCAGTGACTGGCTAATTGCTCATAAAGCACATTTCCCTTTCCTTCTGGGTTCACAGTGGCGCCAACACTTTTAAGCCTTCTTTGCTGTGGAAATGGAATGCCACGTTAGCAAATAGAATGTGGAAAGGAATGGTAGTATTCTCTTCAGACCTGGTCCGTGAATACCACCTGTGTGACCCCACACTCTCTCTTCCTTGGCCTGCCAGCTAAATGTTGACACCCAGGGAAGTCTGAAGTCATATATTGAAAATGGAAGAGTCACAAGATGGAAAGAATCTCAACTTCCCAATGATCACATACCCCTTCCCAACTCCATACTACCAATGGACCCTCCTACGAATAAGAAGTTAAATTCTATTTATTAAGATATCAAAAGTTGAAGGACATATCCTCCAGCATGATTTTAACTAGTATTCTTTACCATACATAATCATTTTAATTGCTGAATTTTTACTTCAGGCTGGTAGTTGTCAACCATGAACCATTTTGCCCTCCCCTCAGGGCACATCTGGCAATATCTGGCAACATCTTTGATTGCCAAGACTCAGGGAGGGAAAGTGAGGGGATTTCTATTAGCACCTAGGGGGTAGAGGCCTTGGATGCTGCTAAAGAGCCTACAAAGCACAGGACAGCCTCCTCGTGCATTAGCCAGTCCGACTGTCAATGGTGCTGGGGTTTGGCACCTGCTTTATACTATATCTACACGCCAAACATAAATATAATTAAATATTTTATTAACTTCATTATATGCCTTATTCAGTATTCCTCTCATGCTGTTTTGATTCGTTTCTGTTCTTGTGTTGGTTCTGTGATACACTGATAGCTTTGTCGACTCAATGTCATTTGTGCAAAGCTTTAGAATCTATTTGTCTCTCCACCGTCATAGCCTCCTCACCCAGTCCTCCCTCCCTCTACACTATACTATTTTCACCACCAATGTGTATTGCCATGTCTCCAGCAAGCCTCACAGTATCTGGCATAGAGTAGGCGTTTATTAAATGTTTGGTGAATGAAGACTGAAGGCGTATAAATAAAAGCACCGGAGGAAAAAGAATGAACCATTCCGTGCCCTCAACCCTTCTCTCCCTCAGCATCAATGACACTACATTGCTTTGGTTTTTGTCTCCCTATTCTGTCTTCTTAAGGTTCTCTCCTCTTTTCCCCTAAATGTAGTTCTTCCACAAGTCACACATTTTTCTTTCTTTCTCTTCCCCCTTGTATTATTCAGTCACCACATCTGTTCAGAAAACTCCCAAATTTCATCGCCAGTCCCAATTTTCTCCTGAGATTCAAGGTCAAAGCTATGCCAGTCTGTGTGCACTTGGCTATCCCACCATCACCTGTAATAATTTGTCTAAAGCTAAGTATCATCACTCGCCACAAAAACATTGTACCTCCTCCTTCCTTTCCGTGTTTGATTGGTTTATGAGAATGGCAATTCTTTTTTTTTTTTTAATTTTTTTTTTCAACGTTTATTTATTTTTGGGACAGAGAGAGACAGAGCATGAACGGGGGAGGGGCAGAGAGAGAGGGAGACACAGAATCAGAA